TGGGCACCAAGGGGGTTGTGGTCAGCTGGACATCACCACAGGATGTTGAAGGGGGTTGGTCTACATTGGATGGAGATGTGCATGGTGCCTGGCTATGAAGATAACCTGTTCCTTGGTTGGCACTGGGATTATCCCTGTGTTTGGGATGAGGTGGGGTTAACCCCACTCCTGGGTTGCATTTGGTTTAGCTCCATATTTGGACTGCATAACCCCACATTTGAACTGTGCTGGGTCTAGTCCCACATTTTGGCTGAGCTGGGTTTAACCACACATTTGAGCTGCACTGGATTTCATTCGTCTCCTGGGCCGAGTGGGAGCTGGTCTCCGTCAATACCCTGTACACTGAGTGGGATATATAACTCCACTCCTGCTGGGCTGCCTGGATTTATATATCCCATGTTTGGGCTGCACTGAGTTAAGCCCCACACTGAGACGATACTGGGTTTAGTCCCACATTCATACTGTGCACGAGGCTTATTGGACTGCACTCTCCTCACAGGAAAAGACTCCAACTGGTTTTACTGGTTTAACTGGGGTAATTCCGGTGTGCTGGGGTTGCACTGGCTGTAGCTGTGCATGTGTGTGTATGCTGGCTCAGCCCAGTTTGTCATGGTGTATTCCCCCAGCAGGCATGGTGGCCTGTGCACCCCACTGCTGCAGAGAAAAACAGCCCTTTTTGAGATCCCCAAGGCACTTTAGGGGCTGGGGACAATGCACAGAGCATCACCCCAGCAGAGCCCAAGATGCGCAAGGAGTTGCCTCAAGTGCTGCTGGTAGTCCTGGGAACTGTAAATATCCCCAGTGGCCCTGGAGGTGGTAGGGGACACGCTTCCCTCCCCACCAGCATCCACTGCTGGGCTTTCTCCGGGCACCCAGTGGCCGGGAGGGTGCCAGTGGCATTTAGGGGACAGGGGTGGCTGTTGCAGAGGACCATCCCAGCAGCAGGGTTGATGCTCCTCTCTCCCCAAAGGTGCATGTCAGTGCAATCGTGATGAAAGTCATCAATGCTGCAGGGATGGGATGCCTCCAGGTCTTTGGGCAGATCAGTGGCCACAGGGATGTACTCAGACCATGACATGGCTCCTCAGAGCAGGGCATGGTGCTTCTGAAGGGCTGCCAGGAGGAGAGGGATTAGTGGGGCATGCTCCCAGCATTAAACAAGGAG